GGTGACTCAGCATACACAAGAACATAATAAACCAGAGGAGGAGGAGTTTTATGAAGAAGAAGCCAATTTAGAAGGACAAAACGAACAACAATTATCTAAGCAGGGGGAAAAAGAATTAGAATTAAAAATTTGTGGTCTGATGGGATGATAAAAGGGAGAATGATTCAGAAAATGGTTAAAGGGAAAAAGGTTAAAGGAAAAAGCAGAAAAAGGAAGTGCAAAAGAAAAATCAAAAGAGAGAGAGAGAAAAGTTTAATAACTGGAATGAGAAAAGGAAAATAAGAATGGGGAAAAAGGGAATTAAGAGAAAGGACCAGAAAATAAAGAGGAACAGGAAACAAACAAGGATGGAAAGAAGGTACATTGTTCAAAGAGTGAGAGATAATGGGTGAAAAAAGGGATTAGGAAGGGGATTCCGCAAGGCAACACGTTGGGATGTATAAGAATGTATTGAAAATAGCATTTTGTAATGTATAGATCAGGAGTGTCCAACCTTTCACCTTCCCTGGGCCACATTAGAAGATGAAAATTTGGTTTGGGCTGCACATAAAATAACAGTAACGATACCTAATCATCCCAAAAAACCATAGAAAACATAGTTAACATATTAAATTTATTTGGAAATGAAGTTAGTGAGATGTTTTTATTATTTATTATTTATTAAAAATTATTTATTTTTTATCACGGTTTTTTTATCACAGTTTTTTTATCACGGTTTATTTTCTGGCCAAATTTTGGGGGGGGGGGGGAGCTCGCACGCCTCACGCCTACCTCTCCTCCTGCAAATGGCCCAGGTGGATGAGGCAGGACTGGAAGGCAGAAGCAGCAGCAGCAGCAGCGGGGGCAGAAGCCCTCCCCCGCCACCACTGCCACTTCTGCCCCCGCCCCCGCCCCTGCTTCTTCCCCCCCCCGCCGCTTCTTCCCCCACCAGTGGCGGGGGCAGCAGCAGCAGCGACGGTGGGGGCAGAAGCAGCAGCAGTGGCGGGGGAAGAAGCGGCGGCAGCAGGGGCAGCAGTGGCAGCGACGGCAAGGGCAGAAGCGGCGGCGGGGCAGAAGTGGCAGTGGCGGTAGGGGAAGAAGCGGCGGCGGCGGAGGCAGCAGCGGCAGCGACAGCGGGGGAAGAAGCGGCGGCGGGGGCAGCAGCGGCAGCGAGGGCAGAAGTGGCGGTGGGGGCAGAAGCGGGGGTGGCGACGGCAACAGCAGGAGGTGGCGCTCTGACGGCGCCCGCCTTTTTTCTTGCTGCTTGGCATGGCGCTCGCCTCGTCCCGCCTCGCGCCTGCCTCTCCTCCTCCTCCTCGCTGGCTCTGGCACGAAGGTTGGGGTGGGCACTGGGCCGCATTACTAGGCGACCTGGGCCGCATGCGGCCCGTGGGCCGCGGGTTGGACAAGCCTGGTATAGATGATTTTTAGAGAAAATATAATGCGGAATCTGAGAAATATATATATATTTGTGTTTTATACTAGATAGGGGGATTGATATTAAGGAAGAATGAAGGTGGTTAGCTTGAATTACTAATTCGAGAGGACAATTATATTTACAGATAAGGATCGATAAAATGACAAATGTGACAAAAAAAAAGAGAAATAACAATAGAAAGGAGATGAGAATTTTAGATAACATTGTAAAATAAGATATGAGAATATACTAAGAAAAATGGAAGGATATATATCAGGATTTGGAATTGAATAGATGAACAGAATTGAGATGAGAATTTTAGATATTGTAAAATAAGATATGAGAACATGAATTGGGATTGAATAAGATAAGCTTAATATTTAATAATGACAAGGATGATGCAATATGAAATTAAACAAATAAAATGAATAGGTAACTATGGTCATGTTTGTACTGAGATGTGAAACCTGGAAGCATACTGCTTGACAAATGAGAATTCTTTATTTTAAAAATATAAAATGAAAACAGGGAGGAAATTGAATAATGGAATTACTAGGTATGTTTAATTGATATGGTGGTAGGCATTTGGAGAGAGTAAGGTTGAAAATAAATATTGAAGAAGTATGAATTAATATGAATATATGCAATGAGAGATGTATGATATATTGATGCCACACTGTTAATGTATTGTTGTTATATGTAGATCGAAATAAAAAAAATTGAGGAAAAAAAAAGACTAGAAGCTGTAGCAGAAGACCGTCTGACCTATTCTAAAAATGAGGTTTGGACCCCTGAGAGGGGACTATTATCAAATTTCATCTTTCTCCCTATGTCTCCCACCATAAATTCCTTTAGGTATCATTGCAATGAGCATCCTCCCTCCTGTCTACTTTCTTCAACTTCATGAACCCCAGCCCCTAAGAAAGTCCCATGTAGGCATTATCCCCATCTTCAATCTACCAAGCCCCTGTAACAACCACCACACCTTCGCTCCCAAAGGACAGTTCACTAATGCCCCCATGGATCAGGCCAAGACATTGTATCCATCAACTTATTTTTTTACAGGGGTCAATTGGATAACTCTGTGGCACTCACAAATGGGAGATTAGGCTACAATACATCTTCTATTCAAACAGACATTCATCATGGTCCAGAATAGATACGATATGGATGTCAACAGACTTGATCGCTAATCTCCAAGAAATAAACATTGAAACAAGTACTTGGGCAGATCATAACCCAATGACAATTAAATGGAAAGGACAAAGAAGAAGATCTAGATGGACATTAAATAATACCATACAAAAAGAAAAAGACTTTATACAGAGAATGGAGAAAGAATTGGTTTTTTTCTTTAAAGAAAATAAAAAAGAAGACACATCAATGCAGAATGTATGGGATGAAGGCATATGCCAGAGGTTTGATAATAGACTATACAAGGAAAAAAAAATATTATGAAAAGACTAGCCTCTAAGACATTAGAGGATGAGTATAAAGGACTTGAAAAAGTGTTACAGAAAATGCCACAGAAAAAGGACATTAAGTTAAAAATGGATATAATTAAACATATAATGGGATTAATGGAACAAGGAGAATTAGCACAGAAAATCAGAGGTGCGAAGCAGAACTATTTTGAAGATGCGAATAAACCAGGTAGATGGTTAGCATATAAACTGAGAAAGGAGAGAGAATCAAGGAAAATATTGCAATTAATAGATGATCAAGGACAAGCTTGCTATGGAAGTAAAGAGAAGAAGAAAATCATACGAGATTACTATGGGAAACTAACACACAATATTGATGATGAAAGAGTTAAACAGTACTTACCGAATGCTAACCTACCCCAGATACCTAAAGAGATTGAAATAATGTTAGAAAGCAATATAACAATGATGGAGTTAACTGAAGCACTTAAGAAACAAAATAATGGAAAGGCACCAGGCCCAGATGGACTTCCAGCAGAATTTTACAAGACATTACAAGAATCGTTGAATCTTCCATTGTTAGAAGTTATGAATGAAGTTATGTTAAAGAAGAGGATACCCAAATCATGGTCAGAAGTTTATATTGCACTTGTCCCAAAAGAGGACGCCGACCCATTACAAATTAAGAATTATAGACCTATTTCCCTACAAAACTCAGATTATAAAATCTTTGCTTCAATATTGGCAGAAAGACTCAAAAAATGCTTAAATAACTTTATTCATCCCGATCAAAATAGATTTCTGCCAAAGGGACAAATTAAAGACAATATGAGAGTAATTTTGGACACTTTGAAATATTACCAGGCATACCCTGAAAAACAAATGGCTTAGATGCACAGAAGGCCTTTGACAATGTGAATTGGCGATTTATGTTATTACAGCTGGAACAGGTGGACTTTGGCAAAAAATTTATCCATGCAATAGAAGCTATATATCATAAGCAAACGGCAAAGGTAATGATAGAGGGAGAATTGATGGATTCTATTGATATAAGAAAAGGAACAAGACAAGGGTGTCCACTGTCACCTTTGTTGTTTGTGTTAACCTTGGAAGTGCTAAATAGAAATATTAGAGAAGAAAAGGATATAAAAGGGATGAAAATTAAAAAGGAAGAATTTAAATTGCAAGCATTCGCAGATGATCTGGTTTTCATTTTAGAAGATCCACTAGAAATAGCATTACAATTGATAGAAAAGATAGAGGTATATGGAAAGGTGGCTGGTTTGAAAATAAATAAAGACAAAACAAAGATTTTGACAAAGAATATGTTATCAGGACAAACGGAAGAATTGGCGGATGTTTTGAAAATTCAGGTCACAAATAAGATCAAGTACTTGGGGATACATTTGACAGCAAGATGTAGCACACTTAAAGAGAATAATTATATTAAACTCAAACAGCAGATAGTGTTAGATTTGGCGAAATGGGAAAACTTACGATTGTCATTAATAGGGAGAATATCAACAATCAAGATGAATATATTACCCAGAATTTTATATTTGTTTTAAACAATTCCAATTAGGCTTGGAAAAGATTACTTTGAAGATTTAAATAAAATTGTGTTGAAATATATAGGGCAAGGTGAGAAAGCGAGAATAAAACTAAAACTCTTGCAAGATACTAGAATAAGAGGAGGATTTGGTTTGCCTAATTGGGAATTGTACTATCAAGCTACAAGTTTGATGTGGGTCAAGGAATGGATAACATTAAGAAATACTAGATTGTTGACATTAGAAGGACATGATCTATTTTTTGGGGTGGCATGCCTTCCTATGGTACAAAGGAACTAAACACAGGGGTAATTTAGAAGACATTATATACGGAAGGCTCTGTGGTTAAACTGGGAAAAGATTAAAAGACAATGTTATTTGAAAATTCCAGTCTGGCTATCAATTATTGATGCTTTCTCTTATCCTATAATATATAAAAAGGAACAAACTGTTAGATATGGTGAAATTTTGAATTAAAAGGGTGAACTTAAATCTATGCAAAAACTGGAGGAACAAGGTATAAAGATGAATTGGTTTTCATATGCGCAAATGCATTCAAGATATGATAAAGATTCTAAAATAGAAGGTTTCTATGATAAATTGACTGATTTAGATAAGATTTTGACAGATACTGATGAAAAGGTGATTTAAAAACTGTATGGATATTTATTAGAAATTAAGCTAGAAGAAGAACAAATCAAAGAAACAATGATTGCTTGGGGGAAAATTTTGGATATGGGATTGATTTAGAGAAATGGCAAAAATTGTGGTCTCAAAATTATAAAATGACAATGTCAACAGCATATAAAGAAAATTTGTATAAGATGTTTTACAGGTGGCACTTCCCCCCAACAAGAATAGCAAGAATATTCAAGAACAAATCTGAAAAATGTTGGAAATGTCATCAGATACCTGGCTCACATTACCATGTGGTGGACTAAAATCCACACATGGTTGCAAAAAATGACAAAAAAACACATAGACTTGAAACCAGAGATATTTTTATTGGGAATTTTACTTGAAATATACAGGAAGGAACTGAAGTATTTGATTGTAAATGTATTAACAGCGGCTAGGATTGTATTTGGAATTGGAAATTGGAAAAATGAGAAAATACCATCGCAGGAGGAAGTTATTAAGAAAATAATGGAATGTGCTGAAATGAGTAGATTGACATTTGAAATCAGAAAACAAGAAGATAAACAATTTTATAAGATTTGGGATTTATTTTATCAATGGTTAGACAATAAAACATGGCAATGAAATATGTAGATTTTTAGAATATATTTAGAATATATATATATATTATTAATATGTATTATTTTTATTATAACTACAATATAATTATAGGATAGATTTGGGATGATATCAATTGTCATAAAATAAATCAAGTAAAGTATGGATTATTTTGTAAAACATGAATGAATAATAGTACCGTCAAATGATTAACAATGATATTAATGTATTTAGTAATATTTGATTGACAGTATGAGAACATATACAATGAAATTGTAAGTGATGACTATGAAGTGAATGCACAAAACAATTTGTAAACCAACCGACACACTGTATGTATATATCTGGAAGATGGCTGATGTTTTTATGTTGTGTTTGTCTATGTTTGTCTAAAAAAATAATAAATCTTAAAAATAAATAAAACAAATGGGAGATTAGGATCTTCCATCAATCCCTGCAATTAATATTTGAAGCTACGACATGCTGAAGATAATATTGAGTCTTCGAGGCCCATAGCCCTTGATAGACCTGTCCTTCACAAAGGTTTGTAGAGTTTGAAACTCTCCACCAAGCAGCAAAGAAAAGAAGACACGGCAGCAGACCTTTCATTTTGTTTTTAAATATTTTGAGTTTCATATGAAGCTGGTGCACAAGACTGGTGACAATTGTTAACAAAGAATAAATCTGAGAACAACCTTGTTTTACTCATCACTCTGGGAAATACAAATTATATTAGTATAGTGCAGACAAGAATTATTCTGATACTTACTGGTAGTAGTAATTGGTGGTAGTTCTTCTGCTTGTTTTATATCCTTTTTTGGAGCAGATAATTGTTCATCCAGGGTTTTCAACCGGTCCTTGTCTTTTAGAAGACTACCAGGTTTTAGATCATTGATGTCAAGGGCCAGGTTTTTACAGAGCACTTCAATTTCAAACTTCAGATTCAGCTGTACAATATTTAACAATTTCAGATTTAATAATGTAATTATTTTAAGCTATATTGATAGTGATTTTTCACAATAATGTCCATCTATCATTCCAAATCATTGCATACTTTGCAAAATAATGATTCCTTTCAAGGTAAGATTACATAGAAAATTAAATCTAAACTGTGCTAGAAACATAAAAGTAGTTGATTACTTCAGCGACTACTTCAGCAGGATATCCTTGGTTCAACATTTTGATCTGATTTAATCATATTCAACAGTTGAGTCCAAACCTTGAAGCAAATTCATGTTCTAAACAAGAGACAGTTGAAAAGTATAAGTAACATAAATACAATTTACCTTTAAGTCATGCTCCTGATGAAGTTCTGCAAGAACATTCATGATTGCCATGGTCCATGGATTTGGGGGCCTGAAAACCTACAAGGTGAGAAGGAAGAAAATCTGCATCCTGGTGTTAAAAATGGTATTGGGAAACATAGAACATCAATAGAATTGACAGTATTACATGTTAAAAAGGGAGCAGCACAATTCTATCCAGAGATGAGTAGTGGTTTGCCATATGTTCTCAGGACTGCAGTCTGAAATATCAAAGGTATGGAGTGATGGGGGCTGTAGCTTAGTAGAACCAGGGGTTTTCCACCCCTGCCCTATCTTCTAAATAGAAGATGCCCACTATACTTATTTACTTCTATAAAAATTGACATCCTATCTTTCAAATGCATGTGGATCTGGGACAGCTTTTCCCAGCTGATGAGGACAAACTTGTGTAGGGCTGGACAAAAGCTTTGTGGACATTCTCTAGGAACACTATATTAAGTGACGACTGACACAGAAAATCACATAGAGTTAATGCCACAGACAAAATGTACTGCATACTTATTCTTGCTCATTTCCATTTTTTTAAAGTATGAGTGGAATTGTGCTTTTCTGCCTTCAACACTATAGAGGGTTTAAGGTTTAAAGGTTAACCCTGCCCAGTCGTGACTGACTCAAGGGGGCAGTGCTCATCTCAAATTCTTAGCCAAGGGAGCCTGCACTGTCTGAGAGACATTTCTCTCATCATGTGGCCAGCATGAAATACGGAATGCAGTAACTTTCCTGCTGAAAGGGTACCTATTTATCTACTTGCATTTGTATGCTTTTGAACTGCTAGATTTAGCTCATCGAAGATTAAAAATCCAGGAAAAGCTTCTTAGGTTGATGGAAATGTGAAGAATTTGAAAGTGAAGTGGGCCTATGGAAACCTACAAAGAATCAGCACTGGATGGAACCAGCAGAAGAGCTGGCACCTGGGTTTGGTGAAAGCTGGAACGTATGGAAACCATTGCATAGACTGTGTATGGGTACAAATTTCAGAAACCCTCTGAATAAATGGGGTTGTCGGTTGCTTCTGCTCTTTGCAATTGTGGTGATATGCAAACAACAACAGATATGTATACCTGCTCTTTATGTCCTGACCAGGGTACACTTGACGACCTCCTGGCAGCATGTCATGGCCCTGTCATGACGGAAGAACAATTGGAGGAGCAGGATAAAGCAGTCCCAGGTCCCCCAGGCCTGGGAAGTGAATGAGAGAGGGCGCAGGATGACCAAGCAAGGGGACAGGAGGGCAGACAGCAGAGCAGAGGAGTGATGGAGTTCAGCCAATGAGCAATTCCCTCCCCGCCTCCGATAATGGAGAGGAGGCGGGATCAGGGCAGGGTGACCTGACGACTTGGGAATGAGATTTAAAGAGATGCTGTTGGGAAGGATTCTTGTCGGGAAGAAGTGTTGCCTTTTTCCAGTCTCGACATCTGGATACTTTACTGTGTCTTGCCCTGTTTGGCAATGTGCAAGTTCACAGCAACAGAGTTCTGCTGTGGATTGTGCTACAGCAGGGAACTCTTCCTGTGATGACGACTCCTTGGAACTAAAATCCCTGAACTGCTCTCAGAACTGTGCTGCTCCTCTGGACTAATAGCAGCCAGGAACTATTGGGAGGTGCGTGTTTAGAGCTTTGTTCCTGGATTTGCAGTGAATGGTGGGATTTGGGGGGGGAAAGTTGGAGCAATAAAGGGGAGTTAAGCCTTTGTTTCAGCTGTATTGTTTCTATGCCCAGCCTTGAGTAATTACATTTTGGTCCTGACCAGACAAACTAACTTGTTTCCCCTCACCGCGCTTGGAGAGTACGTAACTGCTGTTGCTGGACAAAATGGAACAGCTTCACGCAGACAATGCACATTTATCTCAGCAAGTTGCCCTCCTCTCTGCATAGCTCGCACAGCTGCAAGCTGCCAGGCTGCATCACAAATGCCCTATAACTGTTCTGGGCTAGTATGATGGCTCACTGGCTCAATTCCTGTTGTTTTTTGGGCAGTGCCAGCTGTACATAAGCCTCTGCCCAAGGATTTCCCCACTGACCAGGACATGTTGTTTTTTTATTAGCCTTTTGATGGGGCCAGCGGCTCGCTGGGCGACTCCCTTGCTAATCCATCCCAACCTGTTGCTGGATAGCTATGCTGGGTTTTGCTGTTAGCTATGGGCAGTGTTTGAGGATCCTGTCAAGGCCCAGATAGTGAACCAGCATCTGAGAGAGTTGCGGCTGACCACATGCACTTATGCATTTATCACAATTCTTCCAGATAGACTAGTGTCTAAACTTACGGATCTTGGACTTTCTTACTTAATCTGCCTTTGGATTATGGATTTCCTGTCTGGTCTCTCTCAGAGGGTCAGATTAGATATCTCCTCAGCCCTTATTCTTAACACTGGTACACCACAGGACTGCGTGTTCAGTCTCTTACTCTATACTCTTTATGTACATGACTGCATTCCAACTTACGCTAGTAATACTATTACTAAATTTGCAGATGATGCAACAGTGGTGGGACTCATCTCCAGGGGGATGTGTCTTCCTATTGAGATGAGGTGGACCAGTTGCTTTTATGGTGTGCAGACAGTAACTTGATCCTTAACACCAGTAAGACCAAGCAGCTTATAGTGGAGTATAGAAGGAACAGATCAGACATCCAGCCCTTGCTTATCAATGGAGATTGAGTGGAGCAAATGGCCAGTTTTAAGTTTCTGGGAGTTACCCTAAAAAAGGACCTAACCTGGGGTGCTCACATTGCAGCACTGGGCAAAAGAGCCCAGCAGAGATTATACGACCTGAGATTATACGACCTGAGATTTCTCAGGAAAAAACTGAATGAAAAACTGGTGACCTTCTACCATTGCACCATAGAGACTATTTTAACTTACTGCACCTGTGTATGGTTTGCCAATTGCATAGTGGCAGATAGGAAAGCACTCCAGAGGGTTAACATCATTGGCCAGAGGATCATTGGTTGCCCTCTCCCCTCTTTGGAAGAGCTTTATAGTTCCCGTTACCTTAAGAAAGTTCAAAACATTCTTAAAGATCCATATCATCCTGGGCACCCTTTTTTCAACTATTACCATCTGGCAGATGGTACAGGACAATAATAAAAACAAAGACAAATGGGCTGAAAAACAGCTTCTATCCCAGAGAATTGAACTATATTCAATTCTACTGTATAGTTGAATGAGAGTATGTTGGTCCCTTTCCCCCAAGTGAGACCTGGTGGGGGGAAGAGTACCTTCGTGTTTGGTGGGTGAGAGCAACTGGGCAGGGTGCTGTTTATGCATCAAGTGGATGTATTCTGATTATATTAGGAGATAAGAGGAACTGGACCCCTCTGCAGCAATAACGGGTGATGTGAGTTTGAGGATGCTGAGAGCAAATGCTAGAGTGCCTGTAAAACTCACCTTGCCCCCACCAATCTGTCAGTGAAAGTAGTTTTTTTTTCTTTCCCCCCCCCCTTTTTAAAGAAGAATGTTCTGGATGGGGGATGGAATGGTTCTCAGGGAAGGCAGAGGAGTGTGTCCTATTTCAATGGTGTTGAGTAACAGGAGATATGGGAGACAAGGGAGAGGGCAGGCACAGGGAACACAATCTCAGTGTTTAGTACCAATCTCATGTTCTGCCCCATTGCACTCACTTCATTTTCCTGGTCAGCAGATTTGTGGTGGCCCTGGTCTTAGACTTCTGCTTTTAAATGTGAGATCAGCTTGCAATAAGGCTAGCCTTATTGCCAATTTGATCCTTGAAGAGAAGGCTGATATGGCTTTTATAACTGAAGCTTGGCCGAGCCCAGAGGGAGGCGTTCCTTTTGCAGAAATGTGCCCAGTGGGTTATCGAGCATGGCACCAGTCTAGACCTCAGGGCCGGGGAGGAGGTGTGGCTGTTGTCATCAGAGAATCTCTAGTAGCCTCCAGAGGCACTGTTCAACAAGTCCCTGTGAGACCCTTTTTCTCAGATTGGGCTCAAGGGATCAGATGGGATTGCTGCTGCTATACCAGCCTCCCTGCTGCATGGCAGCTTCCCTACCTGGGCTCCTGGACCTCACCGCAGGACTGGCAGTGGAATTCCCCAAGCTTATAGTTCTGGGGGACTTCAACCTGCCTTCTCTGGGGTCAGGGTCGGAGGTAGCCCGATATTTTATAGAAATCATGACTTCCATAGGCCTGTCCCAGATTATCCAGAGCCTGACTAGTAATAGTGGTCACAGTCCTGACTTGGTTTTCTTGTTGGAGCAGTGTCTATGTGACCTGGAATTGGTAGACCTCTCCTTGGTCCCCTTGTCATGGTCAGATCACAGTCTGGTGACAATGAGTTTCTCAAAAGCTGCATCCCCCCACAGGGAGGCAGGAACTATTAGGTTGGTCTGTCCCCATCGACTAATGGACCCAGATAGGTTCCAGAAGGTGCTGGGGGTTATAACTACGGATCTATGATGCAGTCCAGCTGAGCTCTTAAGTCACTATTTAGAATAGGAAAGTGACTGAGGCTCTGGATAGGATTGCACCCTTGTGACCTCTCCTCACTCACAGACCTCTCTGTGCTCCATGATATACAGAGGAACCAAGAGGGATGAAACGCATGAGGAAACATCTAGAGCACTGCTGGCGGAAGACAGGAGGTGAACTCAATCGAACATGGGTAAGAGATGCTACTAAGGCCTACCTTGTGGTGATTCGTGAGGCGAAATGTAAATACTTCTCTAAACTAATTGCATCTGCAGATAATCGCCCAGTGACCCTCTTTAAAGTGAGCTGTCTCCTCTTAGGGAAGGAGATAGAGGTCCACCTGAAGGGACACGCTGAGGAATTTGCGGATTTTCTGGAAGACAAAATCGCTCGACTTCGTTCCCAGTTAGATGCCGGCATGGTTGCTGATCCAGTGAAAGCTTCTGCGGCAGGTTCTTGCCATGTTATCTGGGAACAGTTTGACCCTGTTGCTCCTGAGGAAGTGGAAAGGATCCTAGGGAGTATGCGCACGAGCACCTGTATTTTAGACCCATGTCCCTCCTGACTTGTGAAAGTTTCCCAGGAGGTGACAGGCAGGTGGACTCTGGCAGTGATTAATGCTTCTCTACAGGAGGGGACGGTGCCCCAGCACTTTAAGGAGGTGTGGTCCGCCCTCTTCTGCAGAAGCCATCGCTGAACTCCACCCGGTTGGATAATTTCCGACCTGTCTCCAATCTT